TCCTATCTTGTTGATACCAAAAAAATAAGGAAGTATCAGATGAATTATTCATTGTTGCTGACAAATTTCATGATAATACATCTAATTTATTACAAGAAAATAGATCACTAAATTATTTAAATGCTGTTGTTAATGAAAAAAGTGATACTGAACAACAGATGAATATTCTTGAGCAAAAATTGATGTATAGAACTCTTCATGGGGTTTACAAAGTAGCCTTGCAAAAAGCTTTAGTAAATAAGTCAAAGTCTCAACATCTTATCAAAATTTTGCAAGAATTTGCAGAAGAAAATGATGAATCTGAAAAATCTTCTAATGATGAGTATAGTCAAAATGAATCCTCAAGTGACAAAGAAAATACAATCCCTAATTCTCCTTGTCTACAAAATTCAAAAGAAAACATAGTAAAGGACAACCTTTAGGCACAAAGCATTTTAAAGCATTTCATAAGAATGTTTAAGGTAGTGGAAGGTAACAAAAGCAGTGCAAAAAATATAGGAATTTGGGTCATTATTAAAAGAATTACAATTCTTAAACTATATTATCAAAAGAATCGTAATTTTTGAACTTATATTGGTTGAGTAATTATGATAATTCAGGTATATTAGTGATTTAGATTCTATTGCTAACATATATGTATAGTATTTTATTTGTACAATAGTATAGATATTTGTTTGTATTTTGGGATTTAATTGGTCAGTTAATTTGAACAGAGTTGGAGTATATTATAGTTAGGGTTAGAATTTAGGTTAATAGTTCAATGCTGATGTTAGCAGCACTTTTAGTAAAAATAAATAAGTCTATAATGTAAAATTAAAATTTCTTTAATATATATTATATGCGATATTGATGTACTATATATGTACTTAGTTGTGTATCATGTGATTATAGGAGGTAGTGATATATCACTATTGCAATGTATTATAAAATCTATTTTATTAATAAATTCTATCTTTATGCACTAAGCAATTTTGTTCTAAGAATAAAATTATATTATATCAGTATATTAAACTTTAAATTTTATAAATAATCAGAAAAAAATAATAAATTTTAGATTTTTTATTAAAAATTCAAAAATTCTATATCTTATCTTTAAAATTAATTTACTTAGAGTATAAAAATAGAATTCATTCGTAAAATTTTAAAAATCTTCAAATTTTCAATAATTTTATTAATAAAATTATTAAAAATTTCAGGATTTTCAAAATTTTACTAATAAATTCTATTTTTATGCACTAAGTAATTTTGTTTTAAAGTAAAATTATATCATATCAAGATATTAAACTTTAAATTTTATAAATAATCAGAAAATAATATTAAATTTAAATTTTTTCATCAAAAATTCTAAAATTCTATATTTTTTCTTTAAAATTAATAAATATAAAATAATAATATATTTTTCTAATATAAATTATAATATAGA